GAGTGTATGGTAATATGTAACTATACAGCCACTCCTCGACTTACGAAAATCTCGAAGATAAAACATAGAAAATCTAAAATGGGTGTCACTTTTTCTTCTCAGCACCACAAAACTCTCACTTTTAAGCGTGCCAACCATTTTAAGGGGTACAAACAAAAATGTTAGTACACAGCACAATCACTAACGTCGGGACTCGAAAACACGTAATTTGAAAGATTTTTGGTACAACTTGGGCGGTGGTATGTCCGGGTGGTCGTAAGTCGAGTAGGTCATAAGTCGAGGAGTAGCTGTAATCAGTTTTCTGGCTTTTAACACTAGCGATGAAGGTGTGTTAGGGATAGGGGTCTCTTGTTACTGACCTGTCCTGATACAATGTCAGGTCCAGCCATTGTATATACATTAAACTCTTATCTTATTTGCAGTGGAGATGGGGCGGGGAGTTAGTACAGGTTGTACCTCTCTAGTCCGGCATTCTGTTGTCCGGAAACTCCCGTAGTCCGGAACGATTTTAGTTTGTCCAATTGGTAGATAGGCAGGTTTTTTTTTTTTTTATCTGAATTATTATTATTATTATTACGGTATTAAATTTTGCCCCTCAGGCCCTGATGTGGTCAGTGACCTATGCCGGGTGGGCTAATCCCCATAAAAAAACATTAACAAAGCCTCGAAATTGGTTTGTTTACATCCGGCAGTTCGGCTGCTCTCTCTCTCTCTCTCTCTTTCTGCTTTGTCTATACAAGAGTACAACATTAACCCTTCAATATATGAGCAGTAAATAAGTATTGCTTTCATATTCTAATGTAGAGTAATGACAATATGTTTTCACATGTGGCACTTATCGCTCAGTCTCACTTTTTTTTACCATTAATGGTTAGCTACTTATATTGTTCCATTTATTAACATTAAATAACATTACAGGTACTTCAAACAACCATATTAATTTTTTACATTAATTTTACTACAGCTACAATCGAGGTCTTATTTTCTTCAGTTTTATATGTAGAACCAATCAGTCACTGGTTTTGTAAGCTTTAACATAAACATGCCCGGCAGCCGTCTCGTCTCATTGTGTGTTTTAATATTCCACATATTATTAATAAATTGTATTGTTAATTTTGCACACACAAACATTAATTCAATAAAACAAATTCTGAAACATTAATTAAATATTATGAACAGTAAATAAGTTGTTGCTTTCATATTCTTATGTAAAGTAATGACGATATGTTTTTCTGTCTTGCCACATACTCTCAGTTTATTTTTTTTTTTTACCATTATGGTTATTTACTTTATTGTTCCATTTATTAACATTAAATAACATTCAAGTTACTTCAAACAACCATATTAATTTTTACATTAATTTTACTACAGCTACAATCAGGGTCTTATTTTCTTCAGTTTATATAGTAAGACAATCAGTCACTGGTTTTGTGCTTTAACATAAACCTTGCGGCAGCCGTCTGAGTCTCATTGTGTTTTAATATTCCACATATTATTAATAAATTGTATTGTTAATTTGCACACACAAACATTAATTCAATAAAAACAAATTCTGAAACATTAATTAAATATTATGAACAGTAAATAAGTGTTGCTTTCATATTCTTATGTAAAGTAATGGCGATACGTTTTCCGCGTGTCTTTTAACTTCATGATCTCTCTTTTTCTTTACCATTATCGTTAGCTACTTCTATTGTTCCATTTATTAACATTAAATAACATTACTTAAAACAACCATATTAATTTTACTACAGCTACAACCAAGGTCTTATTTTCTTCAGTTTTATATGTAGAACCAGTCAGTCACTGGTTTTGTAATCAATGAAAACAATGCTGTGTCATTTCTTCGTGTGTTTTAATATTCTCGTATTATTAATGAATTGTATTGCTCATTTTGCACACATAAACATTTCAATAAAAAAAGACATTCTGTAATAAACAATAATGAATCTTTTGTACATAAAAATAAGCGCTATTTACATGATTATGCGTCGTCTTCTGCGTTGGCGGGCGTTCAAACCTGTCGAGAAATTCAAGTTTCGCCGTCAAAATTTGTATTTATTTTTTTTGTGTGTTCGATAAAATCGTTGAATTAAAACTTCATGAAATTTGTGAAGCTACTATATGACATTTAACCCTTCAATATGTCTTCAAAGAGACCATGATGTAGAGAAAATGGTGCTAGTGCTTCCAAGCATAAGCATAGTCACTATCTATCCAGGAAAAGGGTGAATTTTCATGGTCCGGCACCGGTCAGGTCCCGAGGTTGCCGGACTAGGGGTACAACCTGTAGTCTCATATTACTGACCTTCTGGTCCAATGTTGGGGTGGGGAATCAGAGCAAAAGGACTTAGTAGTCAGAGCGAAAGCACTTCACTGTCACTTAATTAGGGAAAGCACCTCACAGTCAGAGTAAACTCACTTCGCAGTCACTGGAAACAGAGTACAGTACAGTATAATGTGAACTTTAGTGATGTCCTCTCACTGTATGGTAAAAACAAAGACACACAGAAAACACGGATAATAACCAATAAACATTGAGCTCCATTTAGGTACACACATGTAACCAAGAAGAAACAATGGTTGGACTGTAGTTCACCAGATACCGTAGCTGCGAGGTGGTGTTTGGGTAGATGACACTTCAACTGACACATGGAATGATGCATTCCATATTCTGAGTTGGCGAGATGATGAATATCGTTAATGCGAGGTTGTTTACATCCCAAATATGGGAGTGGTCTTAATATATCGGCATCGTTAATGCAAATTATTGTAGATGAGGATATCGTAATTTGGGATTTATCTACAGTATACAAACACACAAACGATTTGGAGTAATGCACGATTTTCTGAACATAAAAAAAAAGTTCAATAGAGGGGCAGTCCGGAGCACCTCAGAGTCAGAAAAAATCAAATTCCAATATATTGAAGCCCGATTTATTTAGGTTTTATTGTATTTGTATGACTTTACGTTTTTTGTATTTCATTTGCAGTTTGTAATTTCCAGGAATAGTCTATGATATGAGTTTGAGGGAGGGGAAACAGAATGCTTGTGCTACAGAAAGCAAATAAAGCTTGATTAGAATGTGTGTTGGTTAGTAGTTTGACAAAAAACAATGAAACTGAGTAGCAGTAAAAGTTTAGGTCATGAAACCAAAATGAATTTTACCCTTTGTCCAGTTTTAGCTGGAGGGGTGTTGTTACCCATACTGTGTGTAGGTTTGTTATGTTGAGTTGAATCTTGTCCACATATCTACTCTAGTATTTTAAGATAATGTATTTTCAGATGAATCAATTTCCAACAGTCGACAACTTTACTGCCCTTAAGAGATGCAAATACAATACAGTGATCCCTCAGTTAACGTATTACCTTCCATAAGATTCTTAACTTCGGCTAACGAGCATTCCCTCAATTAGCAATTTCTTCGGCGCCCTCAACATGTTTTAACTTGCTCACTAGCTGTCGTATTAGTCCGCCAATACAGTAATCGGTTCTAGGGCTTAAATTCCTTACTATTTTAAGTAAATATCAAGAAGTTTGTACTATTCAATAATTTTAAAAGTCTTATATTAAAATTTTTAGCCATTTTAACAATTATTTAACATAATTTAAGTACAGTTCAGGGAAACTAGTTTTTAGCGTGCCAAACAGCCTGTCAACACACCATACAGGCGTCAGTCTCTGTGTCTTTTCAGTGGAGGTAACATCTTGCTTCAGACTCTCTTCAACATAAACACTTTTTTCTCTGTTTCCAGTCAAATTATTGGTCATTTTGAAATTTATTTTACATATTGACAATATATAATGCAGTGCAGTGTTGATATAAAGAAATTAATCTTGAATTGCACCAAGTGAACTAAAATTTTATGGGTGAAATGGCACCATGGGGTGACTTCTCTTTCACCCCAATGCCTTCTCTTCTCCCTTCTCCTCCACCCCCATTCTAATTCCCATCATCATCCAGGAGCCTTCTACATACACACCTCAAAGTAAGTGTACTTTACTACCTTTTTTGTTGACTTAAGGCAATTTTCGGTGAGCTGGAACCAATTACCCAAAAACCCATTGAAACAATGGTTTCGGTTAACGAATTTTTCGGTTAACGAGCAACCTTCTGGAACTAATTGTGCTCGTTAACCGAGGGACCACTGTACTGTACTTGTTTGGGGCCGTATGGTCAGGGACAGAATATTGGCCAAACTGGTGTACAGTACAACTTTTCTTTTTCTTAATGAATATGAAATCATGAAAAGATATTGAGCTTTACATAGAGATGTTAAGTACTGTATATGGGAGTAGGTAGTAGGCAGCTATTAAACAGGGAGGTGCTACCGCCTGGGATGATATTGGAAGCATAATGTGTTGTCTAATGGTAGACCCTGCTGCCATATGGCATCACGAAAATTGTGACCAAGTCCCGGTTTGCTGATCTGAATTTCTGCCTCATTTACACACAATTGCAGGTTTCATTTTTTTTTTTTTTACTATTGACAACACAACATACATAATGTATGTCGTTTCTCACTCTTGATTTATTTTTATTTATTTTTTATTAGTTATGGTTATTATTTTTATTAGTATTACTATTTAATTTATTTTATTTTTTATTAATTATTAATATTATTATTATTATTAAATTTTGTTATTATTATTAAATTTTGGCCCCCCCAGGCCCTGATGTGGGTCAGTGACCTGTGCCCGGGTGGGTTAATCCCCGTAAAAAAAAAAAATGAAAAATAAATAAATGAAATAAGAATTATCTGGATTTACAATGATAAAATGCCATACTACCTGCCCTGCTGGGTAGTGGGGAAAATTTTTATTTGCTATGTATGTACAGCTATAAACAAATTAAACATGGAACAAGGAAGCCTGTAGAAAAAATTTAACAACAGTACAGTATTGTGTTACCTGAATGTTGATAGGGGGAGTGAACATTGCCTAAACCAATACATATGTACATTTTGAAAATTTTTCTAAAAGTCTGTGAAATCAACAGATTACAGCTCAGCAGGCTTGTGATGTGCAATTAGTGACGGAAGTGTTCCCTGATGGTAGTTTCCAGCAAGAAGTTTGGACCAAACTGGAAGCATATGCAAAGCTACCAGTAAAGTCGCTTGTCTACTCCAAAGCACTGACAAGGGATATGGAGAAGGATATTCTTCACAAGGTATTTTTATTTAAATTTTTTTATCTAGGTCACATAGTTAAAGGACATATGGCTTGGGCTGTGTCTGTTGCTCATCACTCAGGCAGTCATTTTTTTTTTTTTTTAAGCATATCACACTATCCCTGGGTAATGACATGCAGAGAACATTAGAGGCAGGGGCTATTTTTTTCTCAATGAGAGCCTTGTTGAGAGAAAAAAAGCAATTTGCAAGCTTTGCATCCACAAAGCTTGTTTTAGGGATCATATAAAGAGTGAACAGAACCTATTTACTCCTATTCAGGTGCCCTAATAAACTTCTTATTAGTTGTTGACAGTATTTTTGTGACTAAGAAAAGAGGCACTTTTGGGGGTTAGGGATGGAAGAGCAAGGGCTCACTCCACTCCTATGCACACTGCTGTCCCCTGGATCAGTTTTAGTAAAATTGAATCATTAAGTTATTGTCTCTGGGTTCTAGGTTTTATTTCTTTGGCACCTTGGTTAAGTGTTTGGGGAAGTCTTGGACCTTCAAAGCCTTTCTTTTTTCTTTTTCTTTTTTTTTATTTTTGGTGGGGCAGGGGGGGGCTGATTGTCCCCCAACTCTTCACAACAGGAAATTGCATAGTATTTAAAAATATAAGTTCATATCAATGTTGTCATGTGTAACAAAGTAATATTTGCTTCAGATATAAGGTATAAGCATTGTACATCATTACAGTATATTGTTCATGAAATGTATTGTCTCAAGTTAACAAAAGAGTGCTTTACAGTACAGTATACATCATTACACTAAGTCCTTGCTTAACGTCGTGGTTCCGTTCCTGTAAACCGCGACGTTAACAGAATCAATTTTCCCCATAAGAAATAAATAAGATTTGGAAGTTACGTTCCTGACCCTCCCTTTGCCCCATAAAATACATTACATATACAGAAATTCAATGGCACTTTTATAGAAAATAGTTTATAGATAAATAAACTAAAGCATTTGTATTGTACTCACTGATGGACGGATGTGGTGGAGCGAGTGTGTGGTGGGTAGTGGAGCAGAGGAGGAGGAGGGTGGCAAGTCATTGAGACCCGGCGGGTGGCTCCTCCTCCTAGTTTAAAACCTCCATTTTCATAGCAAGGCTAATGGTCTTACATTGTTTCTTCACAACATTAGCATCAGTAGCACTTGATGGGCACTTGGAAACCATTTTGAATGGTTAGAGTACAGTATAAGAGCAAAAACACTTAAACACGTACGAAGGCTGTGGAAGCTTAACAAAGACTGGCGACGCTTGGGGACACCGTGATGCTCCATGGGTGAGAGCATAGCGCCATACAAAGTAGTCAATGACGACGTTATGCTGAATCGGCGGGACGTTTTCTGAATCATGGGTATCTAAAGAATAGTGACTTTATAATGAAACAACGTTCTCGGGGGCAACATAAAACAAGGACTTACTGTAATTTGGTTTGTGATTGACATAATTTGTTTTGCTACTTGTGAGTTATTATTAGTTTTATGTATTATAAAATGAATTTCTTTATCAGGTGAATGATGCTGAATGTGAACGTTTGGTTGAGCGCTGGACATCAGAGGACTGCATCAATGCTATTGTAAAGTTCTTTAACCGCAAAACGTAGGGAGGTTAGTTTGTTAAAGTAAGTCCTTGGTGGTTACAAAAATTGCCTTTATTTTTTGTGCCTTTTTAATTTATTTATTTTTTGTAAACAAATATGAAAATGGTAATTTTGTATATGGAGTTTCTCCATGTAGGGCTGGTTGTGACCTTATTTCACAGAAGAGCTGCACTGTATCTTTTTTTTTTATTATTTCTTTGTTTTGTACCAAACATAAAGCAAACAGAAACAAATGATACCAAACATATAGTACAATAGGTAATGAAATATAATTTGTACAGCTGGATATATCACAAAACATTTACATAACTGATAAAACTCGATATAAACACGTGCAGTCCGGGAAGGGGGGTAAAACGCTCAGGAGAACAGCCACATTAACTGGGTGATCACCGGACAGTGACAGATCAGCTGGACACTTGACTCATACTTCTTGTGCAGTAGAGCTTGCATTAGAATACTATGACACACAAATTAACTACAGTCGGCCCTTAACACACGCGGGGTTAGGTAATAGAGATACCCGTGAATGTTAAAAATCCGTATACTTTTGCACCCCCCCCCCCAAGAAACCCCTGGCCCCCCATGTCCTTATTTACTGTATATACATGTGTGTAGTTTGAGTTTTTAAGACCAAATTATTTAGCAAAAAATTGGGGGTCGACCTCTAAACGGGTAATAGTTTCGTTAGGTTGAAAAATATTTCCCAGTAACTACCAGTAAACAATGGAAACGGCGCATCAACGCACCACCAGCTGTGAGTGTCGGTACAGTTGCCAGGGCAGATCTCTTGCGTCATCATAGCAAGCCCAAAGTAGCTAAAACAGGCAGGCAGGCAGGCAGGGTGGCAGGTGGGGGAGTGGGGCGAATCTAAAAATAGCTCTCGAGCCGGACACTCTGCGCGTATACGTGGAAAAAACCCACGTTAAGTGAAAGTTCAGCTCTGGCGAGGCACCGTGTATACGTGAAATCGCGCTAAGCGAAACCGTGTTAAGCGGGGTATTACTGTACTTGATCACAGAGGACAAAAATGTTAAACCTCTACATTGCTTCTTAATACTTCATGGCATATATTATTAACGTACTTAAATCTTATCACAGTACAGCATTTAAGATAGGAAGATGCCAAGTTAGTGGATAAAGTATTAATAATCTGCTTGTGGGTGTGAGAAATGTTTTTGTTGGTTAAGTGCTGGTGTTGACGTCTGAGTGAAATTCCTGCCATATCCAGTGGCTGTTCTCCTGAGCGTTTTAACCCCCTTCCCAGACTGCGCATGTTTATATTGAGTTTTATCAATTATATTAATGTTTTGTGTATTTCATTACCTATTGTACTGTATGTTTGGTATCATTTGTTACTGTTTGCTTTATGTTTGTTACAAAACAAAGAAATAATGAAAAGATTTCATTCAAAAGTGAATTTCATCTTTCACTTGACCTTTTATGATAAATATTTCAAATTTTCTAACATCCTCTTTGAAGTGCTAATGCCTTGAAATCATATGCATTTTGATAATCCAGGTATTTAACATTATTTTGGAGAGTAACAGGTCTGCTTACCAATTGGGAACACATTTAGATTGAATAGCTGAACAGCTACACGAACATTTCTCTGAACCAATTGGCTATTTTTATGGAAGAGGGGTGTGGCTTACGGGCCAGGTTAGCGTGGAAATACTATAGTGTACATTATTTTGTTAACAGTATTAACAGTAAATTGTACGTGTACAGTGGTGTTCGCATAAATAAATACAGCTCTGTGCGAAATATGTTATTTAGACTCGGGGAAATTTTCTTTAGTGAAGAGTGGAAAATTACACATGCCTCGCACACCCATATCACATAGATTTTTTGGTTTTCCAGTATATATTTATTTAACCAAACTTTTTGATAAACTATTTAGAAGTATTTTGGGGAAAAAATGGTGTATTAACTTAAAACTACTAAGTGAGACAGCACTTGAGTACCAGATCGTGCATTTGTGTTCTTATTTTGTTTTGATTTCATCTATTTGTATATTGTTCCATGATATAAGTAGTCCTACTACGTAAATGAGCATTTTCTTATTTAATCAACAGTCATATGTGAATATTCACTTTGCCAGACATAATGTAGCTTTTGCTTACAAACAAGCACTTGAGTGCTCCCTCTCTGTCAACAGGTGATGAATGCGACCCTTTGAGGGTAAAACTGACCAGGCAGTCACTTTAACCTCCTAAACCCCACCCAAAAAGGCTGACTCCCATTCACTTCCTCTCTCACTCAATCTACTATGAATATCATTCATGATACAATATTGCCCAGTACATTATTTATTGTTATTCATTAATTATTAAAGATATGTTAATGTAATAATCTGTGTTTATTAATGCCTGTACTTTTCATATACAGTACAGTGCAGGAATACCTCGCTATTCTCAACCCCGATAATCACAATACTGCTTATCTGCAATTTGTATTTTAATACCACTATTCGATATTTGCAAAGCATACCCCCGCTTATTTGCAAATTAAAAATTATGGTACCCTACAGTAATATTTCAAACCGGACAAGCTAGTCACAGCTTTCATATTCCGACGTATGGCCAGCTTCAACCCTACTCGGCCAACCTTTGAGTTGCACCATTATTTTTCAACTCATAATTTTGAGTAGATATAAGTATTTTTATTATATTTATTTTACATAAACAATTTTTCATACAGAATGTGAAAAAAAAAATATCAAAATAAAAAATATAAACATATATGTCCATGGTAGTTAGTGTGCGATCTTGGAAGAGGAAGGAGGGAGTGGAGCAACGGGGAGGTGGTATGAATATTACTGCACATTGGGGGTAGGAGTGTGTGTGAGAGGGACATCAGGAGAAAATTAAAAGGGAAAGTGTGCAGTACATACCTGTGTGACTGCTTGTACCAGTCTTATTCCTATACAGTACTGCACTGTACTGTATAATGAGCTTGATACATAAATTTTATATGTACTCATTAAGATGAGATTACATGAAACAGTTATCTTGAAATATCTTTTATTGTGTACAATAGTTATAAATGTCTTTGCTCGGGAGACACAATCATAGAGATTAACACCAAACAAATATGTGTACATGTTTAAAACTTATCCCTTATGTACATAGACCGCTTTACAAGTATAATACCCCTAAATAAACATATATTGTAAGCTGTATTTGTGGATTAACATCATATATCAATATTTGTGCAACAGAGTTAGAACTTGATGATTTATAATTAGAGCATACAAAATAATAGAACAAGTCAGCATGAAGAAATAGGGAAATGTGAAGGAAAAATGTCACATTCATCACATAATTTTTCTTTTTCTTGTACTTCCCAAGAGCTACTCTGGAATAAAAACTGAGTTCTTGTTTATCCTCACAAATCTTTGCTCAATGGACACTTATCATGCTCGGTGCAGATAAATGATCTTTTGCCATCATTGATCTTGGCCACGCTGTCACCTTTCTCAATGTGCTGAATGATCTCTCCACTGTGTATCTTGTCACAGATGATGTCAGAGTTATACTAGTTTAATAGAAGGAAACAGATCAGGGTGTTAGAGCAAATCTTTGTTCTTCTTTTGAGATCAAATTTCAAACCAGGTGGCTGCTTCAGCTGTTCTATTTTCATTTTAATGAGCTTTGCAAACTGCACCTTGAATAATTCTCTTGTAAGCTGTGCCATTTGTAGTGGGTGAAGTGAATACAGGCCAAAATTTTGCTTCATTTTAGTAGTACATTGGCTTTTCAAAGAAGATGTAATGAAGTCCAAACATGGTACATAGACTGAATGGTGTTTCTACCTACCACACTGTCTAGGAAGGGTTAGCTCAATGTCCAGCTCTGTTGCTAATTGTGACAATCTATGATCATTGTACCCTGACATTAGCAGCATAGTACAGTAATCTCCCTTTTAGCTGGAATATTGGTGCAGAGCAGTTCTGGGTTTGAGAGATTCTGGGTATTGAGACAAATTTTCTTTTCCCTGAAACGAATTGCGGACACTACACTTTCTCCTCATGGAAGTTTATCAAGCAATTTCACTGTTCCAATGACATTACTTTCCTTGTCCACTTTGGAGTGGTATGATCCACATAACTAGATTTTCACTTTGAGGCTATATTTCAGGGGAGGAAAATTTTTTATTATGAATTTGTTGAGAGCAGCTTTGCAAGGATGTTCGCAGGTTGAAAGTTGCTGTTCTTGTATTCTTGATGCTCAGATACCTGAAACTGGATACCATAATTGATGGAACAATATACAATACAGTATAGAAAATGTAGATAGACAATGCTGTGGATGCTAAACCTGTGGTTGACGAGGGATTAATGGTTAGCATTCTCACCTCACAAGTGAGTGGACTCAGGTTCGATCCCCAAGCAGGATGAAACTATGGCCAAGTTTCTTTATGCTAATTGCCTCTGGATGTTAATTGATTTAGTGATTGTAGGATGGGGTAATGGTTAGTCAGTGTAGTTGGCGAGTTGTCAGGTCTTCTCGGATTATATCTTGATACTGGGTCAAGCAGCTCGTTAACTAAGGGCGAGGTTCTTGTGTTGGGAACTACACCTTAGACAAATCCACGCCTAGGTGGCCCTAGGGCTGGCAATCCTCGAGCATGAAGGGCAACCAGTATTATTTATATTAAGTGTACATTAAAGAAGAATTAGATTGTATTTTTAGTGAAGAAAATTTTTCACATAATGCACTTTATTCATTTCAGTGAGTTCTTCAAGATAGTTCATTAAGAAAACAGTTAAAGACAATTTGGAAACAACATCTGGCAAATGTAGAAGAACCAAGTGTCTTGCAATACATTTTTTCAACCAGAAAGCAAAATCTCACCTAAAACCCAGTCTCCACCCTGCAATGCTGCTCCAGACACTGCAGCTGATCTGCTCTTTACATCTTCAACATTCATGCACCATTCCACCACAGATGATCCTTCAGTATAACTTCCACACAAGACCCCTGGGAGTAACTGACCATTGTTTTTAATTATCTGAGGTTCTTTCGCTTCCAGGTTGTAAAATATTCTCATTTGTTTGAAGAGCTGATTTAAAAGCATAGAAGCTATGAGGATAGCATATCATATACAGTTATTAATGTTGGGAACTTTGAGTACAGTACAGGCAGTCCCCTGAGTTGTGAACAGGTTATGTTCCTGGACCCTGTTCATTAGTCACAACAGCAAAAATTCCATAGTTTAGGTTAGGTTAAAGCATAGCCCTGTCCATACAAAACAAAAAAATATCCCATACATAACAAATAATGTAAATACTGTAGATAAGTGATGTTAAACAGTATAAAGTAATGTAAAAAAAATGGAAATTTAGTTAAAGATATTTGTGATAAATATATTAGGATCCCATTCATAGATGCGAGTGTTCATAAGTCGAGTGTTCGTAACTCAGGGCACTGTCTGTATCTTGTACTGTATATGCATTTTGACTACTTACAAATGAAATACCCTATGGAAGAACTCGGTAACAGCCAAAATACAAAAAAAGCCAGAAAATACAGTTAAAGTTGAACGATATTAACACTACTATAAATTTTGAACCATAATCGATATCCTGGTCATATTTCACACATCAATTTCAAACTTCCCATAACGATGATGTGAATGAAAATAATGTACAACTTTAATATTTTTCTGATACAGATTTTTGTAGATACAGGTTGACAATCCCTTATCCGAAATCCTTGGGGCCAGAGGAATTTCAGATTTCGGAATTTTTCGGTTTTCAGAATGGTTAGTTTTATTTTATTTTATTTTTTTTTTTGTGCGTGTGCCTATCTGGGCATAGATCACTGACCCACATCAGGGCCTGGTGGGGGGGGGGAATATAATAAAAATTATAATAATAATAATTCCTAGGTCTAGGTCGTGTTTCTCACTTTTGATCTTTTTTTTCATTCTTGTATTTCTTTATAATTATTATTATTTTATTATTACAGTACTCCTGTATTATTGTTATTTTTATTAATTTTATTATTATCAATTATTATTATTAATGTTGTCATATTATTTCATTTTTGTGTATTTTTATTAAAATTTGTATTTACTATGAATAATTATTATTATTATAATTATTATTACTATTACATTTTCGCCCCCAGGCCCTGATGTGGGTCAGTGATCTATGCCCGTGGGCTAATCCCTGTTTAAAAAAAAAAAAAAAAAAAAAAAAAAAAAATGCCCCACAAAAAAAACTAGGTTTTCAGAGCTTTTCAGTTTTCGGAATTTCGGATAAAGGGTTGTCAGCCTGTAGTAAATATGCTGCATAGGAGGAAAGTAACAATTTTCTTATTTTACTGAAATGTGATATCATGTAACAAATCGTAAACCCAGAAAATTCAGGCTATTGGAGCGTTCCGGGTTTGAGGGATTCCGGCTAACTGAGATATTTCTGCATACAGTATTGCTTTAAAATCCATTTTGATAAAATTTAGTAGTAAAGTTGGATGGGATTACATTTGAGCAGTTTATAATAACCAGACCATGGTTTTATAAATGGGAAATTGACTGTAACTTGATTGATTGAAACATTTTATTTAGCCAGAAAAATACATGTACATATATATACACATATGCACACATACATACATACATACATATACGTCAGTCAGATTCATGTGGGTAATGTCACTCTTCTCTGCCATACAGGACAGAGGTTCGTACACAAAGAATGCATCATATTCATTGACACTATATATAGGTCAGATTCATGTGGGTAATGCCACTGTTCACTGCCATGCAGGACAGAGGTTCGTACACAAAGAAGGAAATACATCATATTCATCAGCAGTATATATAGGTCAGTGGATCACATACATTGGAGTCATATTCTAATTGAAGACTAATCAGTGTGGACTAGCAAATTTGGGATAAACAGCAAGAATGTCCTCAAGCACACCTGATTCAATGAAGTAATTACATAGTTCAAGATACAATAAGTCAGGTGGCCTGAAGTCTTTGACAGTGTCACATTCAATAATATACTGTGAGAACTGGGTTGAAAAGCAACACACAATGCAATTAGTTTTAATGTGAAATGTATATTATTATAAATATTTGGTATTGCTGTGGATAATTGTACTGTAACAATTTTGTAATTTGTATTATACCTGTACAGTATATTATCAAGATATGGGAAATAAATTTTTTCAAGGGTTATGGTGATAATTTCTTTGGTACCTAAACAAGCATAATATTCTAGTGGTCTGATATCAGCAAATATATAATATCCAAGGTAAATCCAGTTAAGTAGAGAATGTTTTACTCAGCGACCACGTCACAATTTTGTTGTTATTCTGACAGAGATTACGGTAATATTTATTTATATTCCACCCATCCTTTGCTTAATAAATATTTGTGATAATATGCAATATTATATAATTATATACTTATGTTAAAAAGAGTGGAGTGAAAAAGTTATCAGTATTGTAAAATAGTATTCAGACTTAATCTACACGTATTTCCAATTCTTCCAAGTTCCAGTGTTTAAACACCCCACCACAATATGCAAGCTTCATATATTTTGGAGTGTGCTCAGTTACCGTTAATATTGTGTGCTGAACATAATGAGCATTTCAATGATGGTAGCAATTTTAACTATGTAATTATATTTTGTTATAAGACAACACATTCCACGACGTGTCATACAGATGATTGTATACCACACAATACATAATTTGTGGCTGTTAAGTTACTTTGTCATGAATTTTCATGCGATATAGTTTAAGACATCATTAAGGACGTGGATTTAAGATAATACTGTAGGTGAGTTAATATATATTAATTGTATTTACAAACAATACTAAAATCCAAACAATACACCAATACACACATCTTGGTATTTGATCCAGCCACCCATTGCATTCAGGACTTCATCAAGGCGATTAGGGATGGAGTCGACCAGCTTCAGACACACCCCTGGTCGTCGACGTATACTCTCCCACACGTCGTAAGCTTTGGCCTCTATTGCTGCACAGGTTCGCTGCTCCCCAATATCCCAATCACGTTTCATCATAGCCCAAATATGTTCAATTGGATTAATATCAGATCCTAGTGTTGGCCAGTCGATGACCTCAATTTCAGGGTGATCCTGGAGGTAGTCCTTCACTATGTTGCTGGTATGAATGGGACTGTTGTCATGAACCAGCCTGATAATGTGGGGGGCTGGAACTGCCATAGCCCGGACTGTAGGAATTAGCACTTGCTCCAGGATGTCTACATACTGCTCACCAGTGAAACGGCCATTGATCTTGACCAGTTCACCTAGCCCATGTGTCCACATCCACCCCCAGAATGACAGACACCCTACCACTCACTGCGCGATGTTGAATGTGTTTCTCATGGTAGCGTGTGTTGGGGGGCCGCCAGCACTGCCTTGCTTCGGCTCCCACTGACCTGAACACCGTTTCATCGGTAAATATAATGGTTCTCCAGTATTCTTTATGTGGAAGGTGTTCCAATGCAAAACCGAGTCGACACTCCTTGTGAGTAGGTGTTGTCCATCCTTTGTGAGCTGGAATATGGCAGTCGATCCCTGCTTCATGAAGTCAGCATCTCGTCCTCATGTGATGGCAGTTGAGGCCCAGATTTCTTGTATGCTCCACTGATGTTCGCATTGGATGTGCCGTTGCAGATGCCATGATCATGGCGTCCATCCTTGCCGACGTTACTCGTGGCCTCCCGCTTCAAGGTTTCGTCTCCACTGAGCCCTCTTCCTCCCACCAGCGGATCCACCTCCGAATCGTCTTAGTGCTCCTCCCCACTTTGAGAGCAATGTTTGGCACAGTTGCCCCGGCTCTCCACATCCCGATGATTTGGCCTCACTCGGCAATCACTGCTGACGAATTTGCTCGTCCTGCAGGCATATCTGAAATGGCAGAGTAATATTATGTTGTTGTAACTGATGCAGGCTTTTATATACTAGAGTAAATTAATGGTATTAGTAACACCTAGGTTAAGTATTATTACTCTGACATAACGTTTTGGTATATCTGTTTGGATCAACTGCCCAAGAAACCCTTCCTAGTTCATGTATTCATAGTGAACTGCAAGTGGATCCAACCCCCCACCCCCAAACCTCCACCACCACCCCTGCGACTGTAGAGTGAACATTCGCCGATAATCATCATCATCATCAAGATTTAGTTTAACCAGACCACTGACACCCATTTGAGTCTCTCCTAGGGCTGGTCAGAGGGATTAGTTCACATATATTTGTGTTTCTATAATTTAGTGTTATATTGTTTGGAGGAGATTACAGTATTTCAAAAAGGTCAAAACTGAACTTAGGGAAAATATAGGGGGGTCTCTGCTAAAATATCTTACATTGTGGGGTTAGTGAAGCACATTGTTCGGTACCGATCATAAAAAGGGCATTCAATGAGAATATGTTGGACTGTTATTTGTGTTCGGCAGTTGGATCATATAGGTGGGGCTCCATTAGGGGAAGACATGAGTTGGCCATGCGTCAATCGTGTATGCCCAATTCTTAGACGATTCAGAATAGTTTCATGATGTTGAGAGGATTGTTTTGATGATGACCAAGGATAAACTGATGATTTGATCATTTTAGCTTATGACTTGTTGGTTCATTTTCCCAGGACTTTTGCTAATCGTCAAATATTAATTGTTTATAGATAGTTAGCCTCGCCGATAATCAAAATATATGGTTTTCCACTGCTTTACATATTTCTTTGACAATTTTCAGCTATGACATGCTTATCTCCTATAAATAATTCATTTAAAATTAATTTTTTTACAAAGAATATTCACTGGTTCCAGAATGTACCTAAACTTACGCCAGTGATGGTCAAGTCTGGTCTTAAATAAGTTCATACTCGGTGCTATCACAACACTACCGGAAACTCTAAATACAAGGGGGAGGAGCCATGTCGCCGGTTCTGCGAGTGTTCATTACAGTAGTCCAATTCGTCAGCATAGGTAGAATAGGGGGAGGGGGGTTGGGAAATGCAGGGGAAGGTAATGGGATGGAATGTTTGATTGACGTTAGTCTTGGGGGAGGGAGGAGTGGGGGGATGGTGGAGGGGGAGTGTGTTTAGGTGTGGTAACCCACGATGCTCAAATTATGAAATTTAATAGTTGGGTGGGTAGAGGCGTGGAGTTGGAGCTCGTGAAAGTATGATGTTGTTTAATGCTAGTTATGGAACATTATAGTATCTGCAAATGGGTTTTCATGCTATTAATAGACCTTATGTAATCCACCAATAAGGATTACAACAGCACACAGTATGGCTGCAATTGGTAAGAAAAATAAAATATAACATGGCAAAATTTTTGCCCTGCGTAATTTTTACAACCCACCTCACGCCTAAAGTAAACCGAAAACTGCTTATGTGTATAGAAGATTTTCAACTCGATATCACATATTCTTTCACCTCTACAAATATTTGCTGTCATTCATGGGACACCCTGCAATAGTATAAGGACGACATGGGCTGTGCTGACAAATTAATGTGACTTGCCTGTTGGTGACGATGATGGTAGGAATGAGACCTCGGCATGTTTCAGTGTTCGATATCACCTTGTGGGGTATGAGATGTTTGATTCACACTCAGGATGGGATGGAGAAAGGAAACTCACAATGTGCTCTCTATATACATGTTGTATTGGATGTACAATGCAGCTTGGTGCTGGGAAGGCAGCATGGTTACAAGCGTGATGTAGAGAGAGCTGGTTGGTGAGGACGCTCAGAGAAGGACAGCTTGTGGGTCGCCATGCTCGCCAGCGGGAGAGAGGACCGCCAGGCAGGCGGAGGAGCGAGGACCGCCAGGCAGGCGGAGGGTGTTGCTGGCTGGTTGGTGTAGGTAGAAGAGAGACAGATCACCACGAGGTCAGGTCTTAAATAGCGGGGGTAGGCGTGGCTTAGCAGTTGACCCCCGCTCCGTGGTGTATGGCGGCGCTGGTTGACCTAGACCACGAGGCATACACTGGGGAATTGGTGGGGTCGGCTAGGCAGCGACAAACAGCGTTTGTAGGGGAGAATTCCACTACAATACTCCCCCTTCCCTCCAGGCTGTGTAGGAGACTTGTTGTCTGCAGGGTTGCATAGCACATGTGAGGCAGAACGGGCGGTGCGTGCCTCATGTGAGACAACGGCGATGGCGTGGATGAGCCGGTCGCTGGGGACAACTGTCTAGATACACAATATCTGTGGGAGTAGAGAGGGAGAATAAGGGTGTGTGGAGGCGATGAATGTTGTGCTTCCCTCACGGCAGGTACAGAGTCGTCAGATGCGCCTGCTGGGGTGTGTGGGCCTGGGTCAGGAGCAGGGGCTGCGTCAGCAGAAGCGGATGAGGGCTCGTGACAGCAGCTGGGTCCACGACAGCAGCAGGGTGCAGGACATTAGCAGGGAGTACCTGAGGGAGAAAAGAGGGGTGTGTGGGTCCGCACTCAGGAACAGAGGCCGCATCAAGGGCGGCAGGGGTTACTGCTGGGCCGGGGTCGGCGTCTGAGGCAGGACGGGTGTGCTGGGGTCGGTAGGACGTGGTGCTTAGGGCAGGAAGAGGAGCTGGTGTCTGCTTAGAGTAGCAGAGCTGCTCTAGGGTGTCTAACCTGCGGTGTAGAGACAGTAGCTGTAGAGCCGATGAGAGCTGCTTCTGGGTGGATAAGCCAGTCTTCCATGTTGCTTGAAGACTGGGAGAGTGATCAGTTTCTCCTCCATCCTGTGTGAGTGCGAATCTCCGGGAGTCACCATTTGTGGGGTATGAGATGTTTGGTTCACACTCAGGATGGGATGGAGAAAGGAAACTCACAATGTGCTCTCTATATACATGTTGTATTGGATGTACAATGCAGCTTGGTGCTGGGAAGGCAGCATGGTTACAAGCGTGATGTAGAGAGAGCTGGTTGGTGAGGACGCTCAGAGAAGGACAGCTTGTGGGTCGCCATGCTCGCCAGCGGGAGAGAGTACCGCCAGGCAGGCGGAGGAGGAGCGAAGGCCGCCAAGCAGCGGCGGAGGTGTTGCTGGCTGGTTGGTGTAGGTAGAAGGAGAGACAGATCACCACGAGGTCAGGTCTTAAATAGCGGAGGTAGGCGTGGCTTAGCAGTTGACCCCCGCTCCGTGGTGTATGGCGGCGCTGGTTGACCTAGACCACGAGGCATACACTGGGGAATTGGTGGGGTCGGCTAGGCAGCGACAAACAGCGTTTGTAGGGGAGAATTCCACTACAACCTCCTTTCCCTGGTGTGGGTGGCGCCAACCTTGGTAACAACTTGTGTATTCTCCGTGGCTACCATTACTGGTAGTCACGGAGAATTAATTACTGGTATGCCCATCAGTCTCACCGTCGTAGCCATGAACAGCAGAGATATGGTCGTTGTAGTGCTTTTATTTACCCGTTACACATGTCTCACCATGCATAATAATATTAACTATTTTCATGACATTCTTATTGTTATCAGTGGAATTCACGATGTTATGCTCCACCTACACACAGCCTGTTACTAGTGTAGTGGAATTCTCCCCTACAAACGCTGTTTGTCCCTGCCTAGCCGACCCCACCAATTCCCCAGTGTATGCCTCGTGGTCTAGGTCAACCAGCGCCGCCATACACCACGGAGCGGGGGTCAACTGCTAAGCCACGCCTACCCCCGCTATTTAAGACCTGACCTCGTGGTGATCGCTCTTTCTACCTACACCAACCAGCCAGCAACACCTCCTCCTCCGCCGCTGCCTGGCGGCCCTTCGCTCCTCCGCCTGCCTGGCGGTCCTCTCTCCCGCTGGCGAGCATGGCGACCCACAAGCTGTCCTTCTCTGAGCGTCCTCACCAACCAGCTCTCTCTACATCACGCTTGTAACCATGCTGCCTTCCCAGCACCAAGCTGCATTGTACATCCAATACAACATGTATATAGAGAGCACATTGTGAGTTTCCTTTCTCCATTCCATCCTGAGTGTGAACCAAACAACTCATACCCCACACTAGACTAACCCCCACCTCCTCTATCGCCCCCCCACACTACAGTGGGCCACATCTGTTGGCCGAACATAGCATTTCCCCCAGCTGTTTCGAAACTTCAGACTGAAGGCTATTCGAAACCTCACTGGCTGGGTAGTGGACACAAGTTTTGTGCACGATTGTACATAAGTACACGGGTACACCGGGGGTGGGGGGGAATGTTGGGGCATAACGCTCTCCTGGTCAGTCTGTAGTGGACCCCATCCCCGACAAGTGAGGACTGAGCTCCCGCGCGCCTTCCAGCCAATCAGCGTACAGCCAGCGATGCTGGTAGACCTACTCTCCAGTGCAGACGCACACGTAGCAACGCTAGGACCAGAGTGCCGGGTGTGCCTGGCCTCCTCCTCTGTGATTGGCTCTCTCGCTACGCGCCCTCCAAATCCTGATGTTTGTAAATTGTATAAATACGGCCATGGCTGGCCAGGGAGACCATTCTACTCTGACCTACAGGACCAGCGAGATCTCTCTCCAGCGCCTCACCACCCAGCTCCCTCAGAAAGCTCCTCGCCCTACAGGACCTCTGAGCAAGTTACTCCTCACCTAGTAACTCCTTAGCACTGCACTGTACAACAATATATATACAGAAAATACATTGTGAGTTTCTATTTTACCTTATTCATGAGTGTGAGATATCTACATGTACGTACGTTTGTGTGCCCATACAAAGAGACAATAGACAACTAAAGAGAATTGACAACTGGCCACATACAGTACGCTACAACTCTTCCATTGTCAATTTCTATTTACCCCGGAAGTACTAATAAATGTTTTTTATAGCTTAGAGAGCTTATCCTCTCTACAGGCAAATTTGTTCTAATCAGTATGCAAAACCTCGAGTATTTTACCTTTAACCTTCTGTAACTTAAATATATGGAGTCGTTTTTTTCAATTTTAATGGTTGTCACAACTTTTTAATTCGCTTATGGCATTATGAACGTATAACTTTTACTTTTAAATAATCTCTAAACGAATTATGAAGAACATTCTTTCAGTGTTTAGCACATGCACACCTAAGGTATTTTACTTTCTGTTTTTAAATTTTTTTTTTTAATTTTAAGCATTTAAGAATTTTAAGGGATTTTAAATGTCCGATTTAAAGCTTTTAATACTTGTGGGTTATCCAATTGTATTTACTTTTCGCTCCCTCGTGCTGAGTAGAGGCTCACACGCCAGCCATCAGCTGGTGGGGTCTCTTGAAAGGCGAAAACAGGATAAACAATCCAATAACAGGAAGCGCCTCAGTTAACATCAATGTAGTAGTCATGTATTGATGGAATAACTCTTTATTTGACGTAAATATGAATCTAATTTTAAAGTTTTATATATAAATTATAAAACTATACGAAAAAGAATTACTCAACGATTGAAGAACTGTATTTAAATCTGCATTTTTGTCTTATCTCTGTAAATATCAAATAAAAGCGCAATACTTCAATAGCACACATCAAAATGAGAAATTTTTTCCTCAAAATATAAAAAGTATAAATTATTATTTTTTTTATTAATTTGATTCATTAAGTCTGTTTTCGTATTTCAGAAACATGGTACCATTCTAATAACGTTATTTATTTTGAAAATGATGATTCTTAGCTCATTTTATATATCATTATTAAATAAAAATGGAATACGTTTAAAACAAAATGTTGAACTTATACTCCTAGGATAATAAAAAAAAATATTTTAAGGAAGCAATGATTGGTAGTGGTGAATGAGAACGAGTCTCAGTTCATGTTTGAATGGAGGAGCTACCGAGGAGCACGCATGTTAGTAATAGTGTTAGAGAGTCGTGGTTTTATTCTCTTTTTCTGACCCATCAGTAAACTTTGATCTGGACTAGTACATGGTGAGCCACATCCCCATCCCCAGGAATATCAGCCTTCGTTCTGGAGGTAAAATGGTGAAAGGTAAGGAAAGCTTTGTTTGGTTCAGTGTTTTCCTCCCCCCTCCCCCCCCCGAGCCTTGGATAACGGGCCTGGTGCCCACCGACGCCGTAGGCAACATTCACGCATTTTTACACTTTATTCATACATTTAGTTTACTGTGATTTATACATTTGGGGCCGTTTTTGGCCCTTAGGTTGATTAAACTATGAGACAAAGATATACAAGAGAAGATTAAACTGGGATATGAATAAAGATGTAAGGTATCCTTGGCACTAATAGGCTTTCCCTCTTTTTTTTCTGAATTTAAAGAATCCAATTACTAGTTTATTTTGATTCATATAACTGTTCCATTCTACGTGGCACAGGCTGACAGCAACTGAATCAAGGAATACAGGAGAAAAGTAAAGTTTGGGGATGTGCATAAAGCCACTTTATATCCCTGGCAGGATCAAGGTTTGGCTTTCCCCCTTTTTTTCAGAATTCATCAAGACTTTTCTTCCTTTGTGTTGTAGGCCTATATCGTTCTTGGACCCCTTCCCCTTTTGTACATATGTGTTAACAAGAACATAAGAATGGAGGAAACTGCAGTGGGTCTATTGGCCCATACTGGGCAGTCCTGTTTACACCCAACCCCTATCGTTCATATATCCATCCAACCTATGTTTAAAGCTGTCCAATATGTTCAAGTTAATGATGATGTTTAGTGGGTTAGGGTCATTTCGTACCCAAGATAAATAGTACCCAACTCACGAGATAACTCATACCCATTTTATGAAACAGTTCGTCCCCATAATATATATATATATATATATATATATATATATATATATATATATATATATATATATATATATATATATATATATATATATATATATATATATATATATATATACGTATATACGTACACACACACACACACACACACAGGTACTCTCCAACTTACGACCGACTCGACTTACATCCACCCGCACTTAAGACCTGCCTCAGTCATACCAAAATGTGGTCAAATTATGTATTTTTGAGTCCCAAAGTCAGTACACAGACAAAATTTTCATCTGTAATTCACTTTAAAATGGCTGGCAAGCTTAAAATTTAGTGTTTTGTGGTGCTGAGAAGAAAATGAAACCCAAATTTTCGATTTTCTATGTGTTATTTAAGTATTTCCGACTTACGCCCATTTCGACTTACGACCTGGATGTCAGTCCCTAACCCCGTTGTAAGTCAGGGAGTACCTGTATGTATATATATATATATATATATATATATATATATATATATATATATATATATATATATATATATATATATATATATATATATATATATATATATATATATATATATATATATCCTCGACTTACGACGGGGTTCCTTCCCGACGACCAGGTCGTAAGTCGAATTGGTCGTAAGTAGAAAAAGCGAAAAACATTACACAGAAATTCTAAAATGAAATACAGTACAGTAAAAGTAATCAATAATGACAAATGAATAAAGTGTGACTGTGAACCTACCTTTAATAATAATAATAATAATTAACGGTTTATTGAAAGAGCTTGGCAGCCAGAAGGCTGAAAATATACAGTTACATATTTGGGGAATGGGTTTCGAATTACAAACAATATACAAGTAACATAAGTGATACAAATCTGATATATAATGTAGTCAGCTGAATGCACACGGGTCCTCAATAATTTTTTAATTAAACTTGGAGACTACATTAATTGGATGAAGCAGAGGAGACTGGGCCGTCGTATGTCCGGGTTGTCGTAAGTCGAGAATATATATATATATATATATATATATATATACACACACACACACACACACACGATCTACTCGACTTACAACCACCCGCACTTACGACCTGCGTCAGTGGTACCAAAATTTTGTCAAATTACGTATTTTTGAGTCCCAACGTCAGTACACAGACAAAATTTTCGTTTGTAATTCACTTTAAAATGGCTGGCAAGCTTAAAAGTGAGAGTTTTGTGGTGCTGAGAAGAAAAAGAGACACCCATTTTAGATTTTTTTATGTAAGATGAAAAGAGGTGCAGTCTGGAGATGCCATGCTAAAAAAAAAACCCTACTTTCCTTGGTGACTCCAAATATACTATAAATGGGAAGTTCATATTTATTTATTTACATTAAGATGCCTAGTAGAAGATGGGTGGGCTTTGTCCAGCAGGAGAGGGGTGGGTTTTTTGTCCAGAATATTCCCTCGTAAAACCTTCCTTTGAACATCGGTAAATGCTGCACTTTCTAATCCCATTAGGATGCTTGCTGTGCTGTTGAAAGTGACCCTTGTACTACTCATTATTCACTTATGAATCTTCAGTTAAAATTTTGTATTGGTGTGTATATTTATTTTTACCTGTATATAGATCATAAGGTGATGAATGATGGAGTGTTTTAGCAAATGTTCCACATCTTTCAGGGAAACGGCGAACAAACCGTAGCAGCAAGGATGAAAATGCTGTGATTAATCACCTTGATGGTCCTAAAGGTCCAAAGGATTCTAGACTGGAAGCCAAGGTAGTTAATGGCTCTTTAGCATGCAGTAAACTGAGACACACTGGCACCACAGCTCACAAGGAAACAAAGATGACTGCTTATTTTTCCCCTTCAAGGTAGGCAATGGCATTTTAGGTGTCAGATAAGGTATATTTTTTAGATGATTTACGAGTCTTGGTTGACATGGAGTATCCAGAGCTTTATATTTTCCATTTCACAGTTCAATTTTATTTTAATCTTAATTTTCAATTTTTTTTTTATTAAGTTGATGTTTACTATTTTGATTATTGATCTTGTTATTGTTGTAGAATATAGTTTATACTCTTCTCTAGAGATGTGCAAAAGTTTTGGTATTGGCTATATTTGGAGGTATCGAAAAAGGTGAAAAATGAGCCAATACCAGTCAATACTTTTGCCAAACATCTAAAAGTACAATAATATAAAATTGCAATAATAAGAAAATTAAACTAATTAACAATTATACATTATCTATTGTAGTAACTGTACAGACCAACATGGAGATGTTAATAAAATCAATACTTTTAGTATTTGTAAAATTCACATAATTTTAACCCCTACGCCCCGGGTGACGTTCCAGAACGCGTGCCTTTTCCCGCTGTTGTTTGAATGCCCAACCCGGGTTAATAATTTCCTTTTTTCAGTGTAGAACCAGAACATAGATATGAGAATTTGAGAAACATAATTAAGTTTTTAAGTATACTGAATACTGATAAAAGCAAAACTGATAATAAACTTGTAAGACTAAAGAGTCAAGACTCAAGATTAGACAATATTCACAATATTAAAGTTCTAACTTCTAGATCAACATCCACAACTACATATAAATTAATCAGGAGTTGGCAACTGTACAACCCACAAGTGTGGACTGAGAAAGAGAGTTTGTCAACTTAGTGCTTAGCGCTATTAGCGACAGAACGAGTTTTAATAACTAGCCAAGTATATTATGTAATGAACAAGAGCCTAAATTAATAAGTTAAATTAACAAAGGAAAATTAAGACTGGCACTAAGCAATGATTCACACCTCCTGGTTAGTAGATAGACCTGTATAGTATGGACGAGTCCTCTGCATGTTGGGAATGTGATATATAGCTTTCTGCAATGCCCTCATTGGAGTTGTCTACTGATGGTAATAGAATTGTCTTTTCCACTGGAGGACACGAGAGTTTACTGTACTATCATACCTCTTTTCACTGACAAGATACATTCGTGAAGCGGGTCCGCTAAGCCAAAAATCTGGTAAAAGAGTTATAACACGGTGCTCATGGAGATGGGGTCTTGCTTACCCCAATAGCAAAATCGGTCAAAATGATAAATAAATACCTTTAAATACTAATATTTTCTCTAACTAGCTAGATAATGATTGATTGTACCTAAATAAGTCTTAAATGGTAAAACAGATGTTGTTACAGATACTGGGTACTAAATAAAAATAATTCTCCACTGCCGTCTCCATATGAAAAGCGAAGTGGCAAACAAACAAAACAGCACAACGATAACTCAAACAGTATTATGCAGGTGACAATGCTTACCTTTGTAAAGTTCAAATGAAGACTTTATTAACATCAAAAATAAATTAAATTAAAGTTAATAACACCTACCAGTTAACTTTTTCAGAGCTGCTTGTGTGGTTTACCACCTCTGCCTCGCTCCTACTGCACAACTCCTCCTTCCTGACAGTGGTGGGAGACGAGAGACATTTTCAACCCCTTATATCACTCCTCCTTCCTGGCAGTGGTGGGAGATGAGACAGTCTCAACCCCTTATATCACTCCTCCTTCCTGGCAGTGGTGGGAGATGAGACAGTCTAAACCCCTTATATCACTCCTCCTTCCTGGCTGTGATGGGAGATGAGACAGTCTCAACCCCTTATATCACTCCTCCTTCCTGGCAGTGGTGGGAGATGAGACAGTCTCAACCCCTTATATCACTCCTCCTTCCTGGCAGTGGTGGGAGATAAGACAGTCTCAACCCCTTATATCACTCCTCCTTCCTGGCAGTGATGGGAGACAAGAGACAGTCTCAACCCCCTTATATCACTCCTCCTTCCTGGCAGTGGTGAAAGACGAGAGACAGTCTCAACCCCTCATACTGTATCACTTTCATTTTCATGTCCATTAATTATTTTCTTTGGCACCTTGGCTAGTTTACACACTCACTTGCCTGCCATTTCCCAGAAATGATGGGCATAAAAAGTTGACAAAATACTGTACACACACATAGTGAATATGAAGAGACCTGTTGCGACACAACCCATACGAATCTTGGTGGGCTATTGTGTACATTCTGAGACAATAGCTGATTGGTGGTGGACTTTATCATTGGTTCTTAATTACTAATATTTGATTTACTTTTTCTTTTAGGGTTCTAATTATTAGACATTATTTATTACATTAATATTTTTTTGTGACCATTAAATGAAAATCTGTCGGTTGACACTTCGTTAAGAGATATGATAGTACAGTATCAATAATTAAATGTGCAATGCTTCTTACAGTATGATTACTGAACTCATTGTACTATTTTTTGAAAAGTTTTACAAGTAACATTCATTAAACTTGAGCATAACTTATGTATTACCAGTCTCTTCACTCACACAATAATGGTCATAGCTAATGAGAATCGTTTAATATATCAGTAATCTTGCTAAAATCACACGGGGGGGGGGGGGTGAAGGGAAACAACGGAGCACCTTAGCTTTCGTCTTTATTCAAGCCATCTTCAGAGGCAACTGGATTACATGCTTCGTGCTCTGTTGTTTTCCTTTTCCCTGTGTGATTTTTATCAAGATTTATCTTATCCACGTTTTCATTGTGGATCTACATGATATATCAGTAAATTTACTTCTTTATACTTGACAAGAGACTGCAGAGTGTCAACAACTCAATTCACATATGTGTTCCCATATTTTTTATTGGGAACCTTATCTGGGTATATGTCTATTTGTAGTTAAGTATCCATTATATAGGTTCATAACCAGTTAAGATATTGCATTGAAACTTGGTATTATTTAGTTATACTGTACAGTACATACATCACTTAAGAATGTGTTTCATACAAAATTCTTGACCCTGTGCTTGAGGTCAAAGGCAGAATTCAAGGTCATGTTTTTAAATATTTGCACATCCTGCAATACCCTTATGATGAAGTCTCTTTTTAAAGTTCATAATAATTGTTTTTTGTGGTAATTCTGTCATGTACTTATAAACCATGCCAACTCAGAGAACCAATATGCTTTACACATGCACACACACGCATGTACGAGCTCGTACTGATTGCTATAAGAACAGGACAATCCCAACCATTGTAAAAATAATCAACAACTTGTAGTCAACCAGTGTGTTCACTCCCAGCCAATTTTGTTTTTTTTTGCTCTTTTTCTATGTTGAAATGCCTTCTCTCTACCTTGTTACTTTATATCATATTTGTATCACTTATGTTACTTGTATATTATTTGTCAAATCAAGTGTTCTAATCTACAATTTTGTAACTATACTTTCAGCCTTTTGGCTGCCATGCTCTTTCAATAAACCGTTAAATTATTATTATTACACACACACACACACTCTGTTTCTATGACAAGGTGTTCTTTATATGAACAATATTGTTTCAGGTCGCCTCCAGAAGCTGATGATGCTGAAGTTGAAGGTGCAACAGTCATTCAAGCAGACTGCAAGATAGATCCGGAATTGACCAGTGCCCAACTAAGTCGACCTCGCCCATCTTCAGCACCAAGCACACCAACTAAGATGATGAATGGTCACATTGCAGTTTCAGACACAGTGTCTGTTCTCACTACTCCTCCAAAACGTACTGTATGTACACGTAGTCAGGCATTAAAGGAATTGCAGGTTCAGTCATCCCCCACCTCACACAATAGTGTACCAGTTTCTCCAAATGCCTCCAATAACTTAGTGCCAAGTCAATGTCCTGGCCATATTGCTGCAACATCTGCTGATCCTGTTTTGCCAACTTTGTCTGGATCCACTGCACCTACCTCTTCCTCTCCCACTTCTACAGAAGATGGCACTAGTCCTCTCACAGGTCCGCCAACACCCCACAAGATTCAAGCACTCAATGAGGAGAGATTACGACTTGATTCCCCACTTTCTCCATCATCTGCCCTATCTAAACTCAAGCTCTCGCTTACACCAAAGAAACTTACATTCAATGGCAAAACCACCAAAGCAAGAAAAAAGTAAGTAAATGTGTTAAAATAATTTTTATGGAGGTCTAGGCCCATGGATCTCACTGTATGCTTTAGGTAATCTTTGAATTATGTTGGCCCTTTTGAAATTTCCTTAGGATGCTTTATTATGTCCAAACTGAATATGTTTGGGGAGGTATATTCTTCATGTTGAGATATGTTCCTCATGCTGTCTGTCCAAGAATACAATCGTGTTAATAGACCGACCATTACATAACTTCAACTCTAGTTTTGTTATTTGAATAGTCCTTTATAGGTATATACTGTACATGCAGAAGTCTTTAGGTTTTGGTAGCCATTAGGTCAGATGCCAAGATCATGGGTTGGGGGAGAAAACCATTCCATTGATGGCTTTAATTACTCCTAGTTTGATGTTGCCAGCACCAGAGGGACTGTTCAAAGTCTTGGTGTACCAACACATAGAGTAAGTGTTTCTGAAGGTGGTTTAAATATCCAACACACAGTGTTTCTGAAGATGGTGTAAATATCCAACACAGTGTTTCTGAAGGTGGTGTAAATGAGCTGACAGAAGTTTCAAGCATTTCGGGACAAAATGTAAGTGTATTTGAAAAAATCCAAGCACATCTGTGTTGACATGCTATCGTAGCTATTTCAGAGAACCCCATGAATATACTTTAGTTAGAAATTTCTTGGTCTCTCTTTCAAGGAACCGGTTACTACTGTTCTTGACTTGTCTTTTACAAGATAATACAAGTTAGTTTTTTGCCCACTTTCATATGTGTGTGAAGTGATTAAAGTCAGGGCAAAGTGTCTGTACATTTGTTGTAATGGTAATAAATGTAGGTATCTCAATGAGTAGAATTCATATGGACATATATTTGTATGACAGCAAAAGAAACACGGGTCAGAGACAACGTCATTTCTGACATTTCATCACAAAGGATTTTCTCAAACGAATGAACATAAGTATACCTGTACATTGCATGATTATAAATCAGGAGGATTCCATGCCCATGCTTGTTCCCCATTGGTCCGTTCCTGCTCAACTATTCGACCAATCTGGTGTAGTTAACTCGGCTGCTATAGTGTGAACGAGTACAAAACAGATGCAATCAACAGATATACTGTAGATTTTTTAGTTTTATGCCTAACCTTATTAAACCCAACCAAAATGAATAAAAATTTGTAGGTTAATGAGAATTGTTCCTTAGGGAAGAAAAATTGTAGAGAAACTATTAATATAAGGTAATTTATTGTATGTGGCAGATTAAGATTCACTAGGACTGGTGAGGAAGCTACCACCACCTCATTTCCCTCAAAGTATATATGAGGCACACAGAACTGAAGTTGGACAAGCTCTGTAAATGAGAGAGAGAAAAGGGCAGCTAAAGTTTGTGAACCTTCAAATTACTGTAACATTGGAACCAATAAAAATATTGAATTGATTGTAGCATTGTTAGTGTAGATTTAATTGATACTATTGAAAGACATACAGAAGTATGTATTGTTTGCAGTAAACAACTTGGGAAGTGTAAGTGAAGGCCATGGTTCCCAAATTAAAAATTTTGAGGAAGTGAATAACTTTTTTACATGATGATAATGTATGATGATGCCAAAAAGATAATTATGTATGGTTCCAAGTCAAGTGCATTTTCTGTTCAAGCAAATGATAATGTGTTTTCCATTTTTTTTTACACTAGCGTAGCTCTCACCACTATCACGCTTCTTTTTAGCCACATAATCTCCCACTTCAATGGTTCTGCCTGCCCCTTCGTACCGTTTGGCTGAGAGCTACCCTCATCACCACTAGATGGATCACTCCAGTTGTGATGTGTCAGACATGTTTTAGAAATGGCACTTTCAACCTTAAGAACACTTCCATAATAGGCAATAGGCCTGACAATGTCTCGCAGACAGAGAATCGATTTTCTTATTCATTTCTATGAAAATCTCATTTTCTGGCACACTGGCGCTTGCTCCACTTCGGTTCTGTGCATTTCATATAACGAGCAGGGAATGTGGATGAAATGAGTTGACACTTTCATTTCGGTACTTTCTGTGCCGTAGATAGAAGTTACAGGGTATATTACTTGTAGGATATTATTGTGTCCTTTGATGTGACTTTGTACTTCAATTGTAGGTGTTCTGCAATAGAGTTTGGATAGTCCGGGAACATATCCCTTATTCCACCATGTTACAATAGATTCCTCAATTACTGTTTTGCCTAGGAAGGGTGACCTGTAATAGGGTCAGTACCTACTGCATTTTTTTTATACAGTACATTATTTTTCAGGGAATTTTAATGAAACCGCTAAATTGTCACTCATGGACTGCAGATGTGCATCTGATTTTATACTGCTCTTGTAAAATAAAAAAAATAGTAGCTTGTAAAGTTTATCATAATGGTTATATGTACAGGGGGTCCCCGACTTACGAATGTTCTACTCACGAGCACCCGCCTATACGAACGAGGTCCCATAAGGTCAATTATTTTAAGAATCCAACAAAAGTACAATTGGTTCATAGCATTTACACACGAGAACTAGTTGGCGTGGCATAGAGGTGGGGCAGAGCTGCGGGTGTGGAGTGAAGCATCGGCCAGCCACACACCTTGAGGAAGTGTCAGGACGCTTTACCCTTCCCGGATTAATGTGCTTGATCAAGTGGGAACCAACTCCAGCTTGGTATTCATGAGGATGATGTCACACAGTTGCATAAGTCTTATACTGAATAATTAAGCAATGAGGACCTGATTGAACTGGAGAAGCTAATTTTGTCAGGATGTAGAGGAAGCTGAAATTCCAGAACCAAAGCTATTCATTACAAAATAAATGGCAGATGCTTTCAGGCTTATTGAAAAAGGACTGTTTAAATTTGAACAGCAAGATTCACCAAAATTTAGAGGTACAGGTATTACTGAATGTCTATGATGCTACAGATATTTATGACAAAAAGAAGAAAGTTTCAGTTCAACCAACCCAATAAAGCCTGTCACTCCTACAAATGCCCATCTCTACATGCAAGCCAGTCCCAGAGGTTTCAATGTAAGTGTTAAACTTTAATTTTTAGTTTCCTTTACTGTATTTTTTCATTCAATTTCTTCTTTTCTCTTAAATTAAGTGGTTCAAGATGTATAAAAGGACTTCAGCTATGATTTAATGCAAATAGGGTATGTGTTCCGACTTAAGAACGTCCTCAGAAACGGAACTCGTTCGTAACCTGGGGACCTCCTGTATGTCATTCTGAGTAATTTCTGACAGCTATTTCAATGCAATTCTTGTTGGAAGAGGTGTACATTTGAACAAATTTGTTGATTTTCAGTAAAACAGGGAATCCAGAAATATTTTTGGATGTCATTTTATGTGTGTCCCATTTTATGCCATTAAGGTATAATACTATTTTAAAACTATCCTGTTTTCTAGGTTACCCACACAGAGCAGCAACCGAGTAACTACACAGATCAAGGGTGAGAAAGCCTCCAAAGCTAATACCACAACAGCAAATGGAGAGGCTAAACCAGCTCTTCGAAACACCCAGTTGACAGAATTCTTCCCAATACGGAGGTCTGAGCGCAAACCAAAGACAACACTACTCCAAGAACGGCAGCAGGAAATAGAAGAAAGAATAAAGAGTGGCAGAGAAGATGGTCTCATGGTTTGTTCAACAATGAGGCTCAGTTTAGCCAATATTAACAATAAAAATAAGTTTTGTGCAATCTTAGGGGAAAATTGATGACACTGTAAACATGAGTTCACTCTCCCAAGGAATTATTCTATATTTTTACATATTTTATCCTAGTTTGCTGAACATTGCTCTCCTTCACCTAAAGTTTAGTAAACCTAATACTGTAACTAAATGGTATTTATACACGAATTCTAAAGCTTGCTCCAAGAAATTTCAGTACCTCAGAATCTTTGTCAATGTACTCTATTGAAAGTGAAAGTGGGACTCAAGGCAAGATGGGCAATTAGGACAAGTGTGGATACAAAACACTGTATACACAAGGAGTAGCATGGATGACACTGCACTTGCAGTGGTGTGACTATGACATTCTTAATTGCATTTTACCAGCATAATTCTATATAGTTCCTCAAGAACCCCATTTTTTTATTTGTTGGGGAAAAAGGGGAAGGGTTTTGAATAAGGAAAAGTTAACAACAATGTCCAGCAATTTCATAGAGGTAGTAGTAAATACAGTACAAAAACAATGAACGATTTGTTAGGTGTGAAACATGTCAACCTTTCACCTACCTCTGATCTTTTGATCAAGTAGCTACAGAAATTTCTGGTACTATAGTGAAAGATAACATTCTGCACCTAGTTATGCTGTCATCACAATATCCATTTGTTCCTACTGTATGTAGATTTTGGCCCCAAATTTTGTTTCCCAATATTCAGGAGAAGGACATATATACTGTATACAGTGTGCGTGTATTTTTTATTACTGTTATTATTTTATAATTAGGCCGGTCCCTAACTTGAATGCAGAGTTGTGATTGGGTGAACCTTGAGGGGCTACAGGATTGAGGTAGTAACGAGTCACTTTCACTGCCAGTTGAATTGCCAAACACCTTAACTCTATGATCACCCTCCCATTCTCTCATCTCCCTCTCACTTTCTTAATTTTTATTTTTTCCCCCCACCTACTCCCCCTATCCATTTTCTCCTCCCTCTTACTGTTCTTCTGCTCCCCTTACCTGAACTCTTGTTCCTCCTCCTCATATTTTCATACCTCCCCCACATTCTCCCTTCAACATGCTGTGTCTTCTCATACCTTTTACCTCCTTCCTCCCTATCTCCCTCTCTTTTTTGTTTTATATCTATTCCTTCTCTAAATCATTCTTTCTCTTCCTTCTCAACTTCACCTTCTATTCCTCCCTCCCACCCTCATGTCCTCTCCAGCCATTTCCTTCCATTTTCACTAATCCATTTTTCTTGACCCCTGGGGTTACAGATTTATTCTAGAGGGCAGCAGGAGGTTGGCAATGAATAAATTGCTAAAGGTGAAGAAATATATAACAGCTGTAGTATTCCCTTTTCCTGCTATTATATAAGTCACTCATCTGCAAGGGGTGGGGGCATCTTTACCAGGAAATTTTAAATGTATTTTAGCGTACTGTATTGTACAGTATTTCATACAATTTTGTCCTTACGTAACTCCACACCTCTATACTGTACTGTACTCATAACCCCTCAGTCATATTCTTTAACTTGGTTCACCTAACTTCTGTTATTTACTTAAAAATAGAACATGGATGGTTGTTAGACACTTTTGGTTGTAATTTGTTGTGATGCATTTGCAGTACATAATAGATTTGGGGATTTGTCAAACCAAGTAACTAAACAGTTTTAGGACCTATGGTGTGCCCTCAACACAATATAAATGAAGATTGCAGTGTATGTAAAATGGATTCTCATTTATTTTATTTTCTCCACTAGGTGAAACATTTTGGGGCTAAAGGCCGTGGGGTAATTACAACAAGATGGTTTGCAAAAGGAGAGTTTGTGGTGGAGTACATAGGAGATCTTATTGATATGCGTGAAGCCAAAGAGAGGGAGAAGATTTATGCACAAGATGCCTCAAAGGGCTGCTACAACTACTACTTCACTTTCCAAAATCAGCAATACTGGTAAGTTAGCCATTGCAGCTTTGTCATTCTTTTGTTTTAGCTTATATTGTCCATCACAAGAACAGAATTGGGTGGCTGGAAATGAAAGCAAATATGCACACCCATTTTCCTTTGTGATCATCATTAATTTATTATTTCAATGCTACAAAGATGTTTCTCTCGTGGTATTCCCCTTTACAATTGAGCCCAAAATCTAGCTCACCACGGTGACTGTGCGGAAGACAATGTTTTGCTACATATTAATATCCAGTTTTCTTATTCATCAACTTTAGGGGGGATTCATAGAAATCACAGTGGGTGAATTTGGGTGTTGGTATTACTTCAGTAAAGGATTAATTTGGGTGTTGGTAGAACTTCAGTACATGGATTTGGCAACCCATCTAGGTGCGTTGAACCATGCAGTACCAGACAACTAATGCCGGTAATGCCTCTATCTCAGTAAGCATTGAGAGTGTCAGTCCCAAGCATGATTTACAAATGGTCACCATGGCATTTGCACTGCTGTTTCAAGATATTTATTTCTTACATCCTCGATATTTATTCTTAACCCTTAAGCCCCGGGTTAGGGTACTGCTGTGCATTCGGTATGAAAGATTGTGTGCAAATACAGTAGAACCTCAATCAATCGGAAGAATTGGGGCAGACCCCAGTCCGAAAAATGCAAAAATCCAATAAAAGTGAATATATGGGGAGGATGGAGAAAATGCTGCTTATCTGAACTGTTTAAATAAAATTAGTTGATGTTTTGTTATTACTGAACTAGGGTCTTTAAGTGTATAACAAGGTTATTAAAAGAACATTACATCAACAATAAAAAAAATATGAAACAACTCTGGGTTGAAAACCAGACATGTAAGTCTGGTTGTTACCGAGATGATTGTTATTTACTGTAAAGTGTTATATGTAAGAAACCACAGAATTTGTCCTATGAATAAAGAGAAAACTGTATACTGTACAGTACTATAAAGATAAAAATGACAAATAGGTGTAGGAGTATATTGTATGTGGAAGACTAATGTTTATCTGGGAGCAGCTGGCAGAAGGGGGGTGGGTGGGTGGCTCACCACCCCCCTCTCACAATATTCCTTTAACATTTCATTATACAGTTCCATTACAATTCCCATATAATTTAGGATCATTTGGTGCCAGGTTGATAAAATATTATCCTAAAATAATCGGCTTTCCCGAAAAAGAATCCCACACTGAGCACCATGAGTCATTTTACAAAGATCAAACAGCTTACCATTTTTGTTTTTTTTTATTTTTCTCTCAGGGATTAGCCCACCCGAGCACAGGTCACTGACCCACATCTGGGCCTGGGGGGAGAGAAAGTGTAATAATGAAGAACATAAAGAAATACAAAAAATGAAAAAAAAAGGATCAAGAGTGAGAAACATATATGTACTGTATGTTGTGTTGTCAAAGTAAGAGAAACAATTGAGACCCTGCAATTGTTTGTAAATGAGGCAGAAGGTCAGATTAGCAACCTGGGACTTGGTCACAATTTTTGTGATGCCATATGGCAGCAGGGTCTACCATTAGACAACACATTATGCTTCCAATATCTTCCCAGGCAGTAGTACCTCCCTGTTTGGTAGCTGCCTATTACCTACTGTGTTCAACACTTAGTAAATTAGTACAGTACAGTTGTGTATTTATCATCACTTAATAAGTACTATTGCAGTGTATTTATTGTCACTTAATAAATACTATTGCAGTGTATTTAGCACCACTTAATAAGTAATATTGTAGTGTAAAGTATTATGTATCTGCATATACCCTGGTTTATTCATTAAACATTTGTCTAAGTATACAAGTAGCCAAACTGAGTCATCATACAACACTCAAAGGTAGTAATTAACGTTTTTAAGAAGGTATCTTCATATTAAATACTATATGTGCAGTGTTATAGTGACCCCTGTTGTAAGCTGGTCAACTGAAAGCTCACACAAACACATTTTGAGCAAACAACCTTTTGATAGAGCTTATCCTTTTATTTTCAAGTCATATTACAAATTACATACAGTATTGTATATTTTCTCTATTACTAAAGATGTTATATTAATCATGATGAACCATAAACCATAAGAGGCCAATCATATGAGAATATAACACTAAATAAATAAATAAATAAACCTGATGAATGTGGCAACACCTGATCAGCCCCAGCCTGCATACGTGCTCAAGTGTCTTAATGTATTTCTCAGCAGGTCTATAGCAAATCTCATTAGACCACTGTACAGTATTCAGTAAGTGTTGTTTAGTTTATAAGGTTTTTTTTATTTAACCTTCCCCATTTCTTAATTTTTTTTTATATAGTGTTTCTGGCGACCAGAGCATCTCAGAGTCCGAAAAAAGTTAATTCTGATTTATCGAGGTTTTACAAATGGTAAAAAAGAAAGAAAAGAAAACTAAGTACAGGGGGGATCCCTGACTTACGAACACCCGCTGATACAAACGGGGTTAAACTTGAAGTTTACAGTATTATATTTACCTTATTTTCATTCTATTTCTTCTTTTCTCTTAAATTAAGTGATATTAGATGTATGTAAAGACTTAGGCTATGATATAGTGGGATTTTAAACATTGTTCTGTTAGTATGGTATCCACATAGCAAGTGTTCCGACTTACGTACAAATTCGACTTGAGATCGTACTCAGGAATGGAACCCGTTCGTAGCCCGAGGACCCCCTGTATGTCTAACCCGCTGTATAAGTCCTGTGCACATAAGAAAGGTTTTTTCTCTGTTTTTTACCTTAAAATAATTATTACTATTATTTATTTTTTGGCACTATATGTATGAAAGATTGTGTGTGCATGTTACCGTTACCGCCTCCAACTCCGCGCGGCGCAAAAGGCCTCCACATACTCACGCCAGCCATTTTGAACTTGAGCCCTTTCCATGGTTTTATTTAACTCGTCCTTCATCTCCCTTCTTATAGTTTGGATTCATATAGGCCTTGGTCTTCCTCCTCTTCTCATTCCGTCCACTCGACCTCCTCTCTCAATACAGGGAGTTCTGCTATAACGCGTGTTTTGATAACGCGAATTTGCTCTAACGCGATTTATGAATTCGGAACAATATTTGTATAACGCGAACGCTTGTTTGCTATAACGCGATTTTTGCTTACTATTTCTCCAATTTTGTGGTATTAACTGTGAATATGGTAAAGAAGAATATCTCCAATAGGCGCTCTGATGATAGAATTCCCGGTGATTATCGTAAAAGAAAGGATATAACACTTGAAGAGAAGCTCAATGTTATCAACCTCAAAATCACCCTTCTTCCCCATCAAGTTACATTCATATTTTTTCAAGGTAAAGTGTAAAATTTACTGTATGATTTCATTATTAGATATGAATGTAACATTTATTTAGACTGTGCTATCCTTTGTGTTAGGCTAAATACTAAATTTTTTCGATTTCGAGTAATCTGCACCTAACCCTATTTTCTCCATAAGCCCTGTTATTTCTATTACGCGATTTTCTATAACACGATATTTTACAAGAACACAATTATCGCGTTATAGCAGAACTACCTGTACTCGATCCGGACGCAGAACGTGCCCCAGCCACCTCCATCTATTCTTCATCAGCCATTCATCGATAGGGAGAACATTTGTGAATTCTCTTTTTGTCTCGTTTCTAATACGATCATGCCATCTTATGTTCAAGAGTCCTCTCAATGCCTTATTCTCAAAAGGTCGGAATCTTCTGGATAAAGTGTCATTATCATACCCAGTTTCCGTACATACCAAAACGGGTCATGTAACAAAGTAAAAAAAAAAAAAATACGAAGGTCTACCCAAAATTGCTTGTGCTGTAGTGACAGCTGGGGGATTGAAACTTATCTGTACACATACATATTGTCATGCAAGGTAAATTAAAATTTTAATTTTGTAAAAAAAATATTTTATTTGTTATTTTGTATAAAGTTATTGATTTTATGGCTATAAATTATTTGAGTTTAGACATTATTTAATAATTTTAGCAGCAGGATTTAAAACTTGTTGGGGTTTTTTAGTGGCTCAGGAGCGGAATTTATTTTTCCCCTAAGTTATTAATATGTATTGGCATTTGATCAATTACTTATCGATGGCTTTTTGAGGTCCCTAACCCCAGCACATAACGGTCATTGCCAGAAATATTTTAAAATTTCAGGAAAATCCAGTATCAGTCAGGCCAGTATGTGTGTTTGTACTTGCATTTGAACGTCTGTGTGTGGGTGTCGCATTGCATGTGACTCATTCCGAGTCCTGCCTTCATGTGTATTGTATCAGTGTGTCACACCTCTCTACTTTCACTCATTTACATGAACTTTTTATGTAGGGCACACAGTATATTGAACGATGATACTTGACGGTTTTAAGAAATGGGTTCAAATAATGTACAGTAAAACCTGGTTAATTGAAGTTTATGCTTTATCTGGACTGGCAAACCACTCTGGACTAATTTCTGTTAATCTGAATTGAGTCCACATTAACATGAAATGGTCAGGGATCTCCTACCTGGTGGCTGGTGGCAAAAATAAATCAAATTATTAACACTTTTGAATCACTAACCTGCTGCATACTATTTTTTTGGGGGGGGGGGGGATTAGCCTACCCGGGCACAGGTCACTCACCCACATTGGGGCCTGGGCAGCGGAAATATAATAATAATTTATAGAAAATAAAAATTTTAATAAAAAATAAATACAAATAAAGTAATGATAATAATAACAATAACAACACTAAATAATAATAAAGAACCATAAAGAAATACAAAAATGAAGAAAAAATCAATAGTGAGAAACAATATAAGTATGTTGTGTTATCAAAGTAAGAGAAACAATTGAGACCCTGAAATTGTGTGTAAATGAGGCAGAAAGTCAGATCAGCAACCTGGGACTTAGTCACAATTTCATGATGCCATATGGCAGCAGGGTCTACCATTAGACAACACATTATGCTTCCAATATCTTCCCAGGAGGTAGTACCTCCCTGTTTGATATCTGCCTA